GGCGCGAAGAGGCCCAGGAGGGGCGCTACGGGGCCCAGGAGGGGCGCGACGGGGCGCTACGGGGCCTGGGAGGAGCGCGACGGGGCCCAGGAGGGGCGCTAGGGGGCCTGGGGGGAGCGCGACGGGGCCTGGGAGGGGCGCGACGGGGCCTGGGAGGGGCGTTACAGGGCCCGGGAGGGGCGCTACGAAGCCCAGGAGGGGCGCGACGAGGCCCAGGAGGGGCGCTACGGGGCCCAGGAGGGGCGCGACGGGGCGCTACGGGGCCTGGGAGGAGCGCGACGGGGCCCAGGAGGGGCGCTAGGGGGCCTGGGAGGAGCGCGACGGGGCCCAGGAGGGGCGCTAGGGGGCCTGGGAGGAGCGCGACGGGGCCTGAAAGGGGCGCTAGGGGCATGAGCGGAAGCGGTAGGTGGGGGGGGATCCTACCTAAGCGTGATACCATGTCAGAAACCCAGCCACTAACCACTGGGTTAAAAGGGCTTGTTAAATAGCGGGTAAGTGCGCCCATAGCCCCCCAGGCTCTGCACCTGTGGCCCTTCCCGAGGATCTCAAGGGCAACCCCCAGCGGGTCACTCAAAACCCCCCCCCCGCTGGGATAGGTGGAAGACACGAGCGCCTCTGCAGCGCTAGCACTGGGAGTTGAACCCAAGACCTTTGGCTCTGATACCATATCAGAATAGGAATTGAATATTGACAAGTGAGAGTACACACAAATATATCTAAGTGTTGTACCCTCTAAGAGGTAACCCTATACAGTCTATACAAACATGACAAATACAGATGTTTGACATAGCATACTTCTCCAAGCACTGTACCCTCAATTGGACTGAGAAGTATGCCAAACACGTCAGAATGATTAATGAAAGGAAACAGAATGGTCTAGCAAACTCCATGGCACTCCTAAACAAACAAACAAGAGTAGGCGCACCCCTAGAAAGAACATCTGTCATCAAACTGTCACACTCAGTAGACACCACCACATGCAAGTGGTCAGTGGCGCAACACCCGTCTTTTCCTCCACTTCATCCCTCACTTCCTCCCAAGCCAGCAGCCTCCAGCTGGAAGACCAGCAGCACATCCCTAGTCGCCATGTGTCTGTAGAATTCTGTGAAGACACCACTTGAAACACTTCCAAACAGGGCTGTTGGGCTGAGAAAAGGCCCTTAGGATCTTTTCAGAGACTAAGTCCCGGTTGTAGAGTGAGACTTGAGTAGTGCAGCGGAAGTTGAGACGGTTGAACCCTTGTACTAGTATGTGAGAACAAGTGATTGATTAAAGAAACAAGCATACAGCAATATATAGAAGATAAGAAGGCAGTTGTAGAATACAGTTACAGGAACGGTTTATCGAGTCGCACAGCGACTCGATTGCCGCTTCGGTTACTATCCGTGATGTTGTAACGGTCAGTCGCAACCTCCAGTTGCGACCTTTCGAGTCTTTTCGCATTCTTTGTCCGCCCCCTCGTGCAACCTCCGTTGACTCGCGTGCTCCTCTGTAATCTTCCTCGAGTACAGTGTTATACTTCAGAAACGCTTAAGTCCTTTGAGATATTTCCAACACTCCCCTTCGTTTCTGGAGTGCTGGCGTGTTCAGATCCGGTGACGTTTGTTTGTCCGGTCAGGAGCATGCAGTAGTCGAATTTTGCTTTCGCTAATTTCTTCGTCAGATAATCTGCGGCCATTTCTGTCGTCGGGCAGTAACTGAGTTGAAGTCTCCCCTTCGCGATTTCATCCTTGACGAAGAAGTACCGCAGGGCGATGTGCTTGGTTCGGTTGGCGAAGCCGTCCTTGTTCGCGATTTTGATCGCAGATTGGTTGTCGCAGAGGAGTGAGAAGACGGGCAGGGTCGCGATCTTCGCTTCCTCGAGTAACTCCCGCAGGTAGAGTCCTTCCTTGGTCGCAGTACAAAGGGCGATATACTCTGCTTCAGCCGAGGATAGTGCGATTAACTCCTGCTTGCTCGACTGCCAGGAGATAGTTCCGATGGGTTCTAGTCGGTAGATGTAGCCCGTCCTAGATCGTCGATTTTCCCTATCTCCCGTGTGGTCGGCGTCGACGTATCCGAGTAGTCGTACGGACGGTGTTGTCGCTTTGCTGTAGGTAAGCCCGATCGTCGGCGTGGAGACGAAGTAGAGTAGTGCCCGGTTGAGTTCCTCAAGATCTTCTTGTTCCGGTTGCTTCAGATGCGTCGCCAGTTGACTCGCACTATAGGACAGGTCGGGTCGGCAGGTTACTGCTGCGAATAGTAGGCAGCCGGGCTTCTGTTGATACTCTGGATTTGCTTCGCAGGGAGTTTTGCGGAGGTGCTGTTGTTGTTCCCGTAGTGGTAGGGGGTTGGGACAGTAGTAGATGTTAAACCGAATTTCTTCGCGACGGTGCCTGAGTACTTTCCAGCGTGTAGGTAGAACGCCGTGTCGTTTTCGTCGACATTCAGTCCTAGGTACTGGGTCACTTCGTCGGACACCGTGAGTGTTAAGTCTTCTTTCAGCTCCCGTTCGAACCAGGTGGTGATGTCGGTAGTGGAGCCGATGTAGAGCAGGTCGTCGACGTAGACGATGAGTAGGATATACTCTCTTCCCTTCTGCAGTCGGTACATTCCTTGGTCATGCGGCAGTTGTAGGAATCCGATTTTTGCGAGATGGCCGTGGAGATGCTGCTGCCAGAGCCGCGGGGCTTGCTTGATCCCGTATAGGGATTTTGTTAGTTGGCATACTTTCGTGGGGTCGTCGATGAATCCGTGGGGTTGTTCGACGAAAATCTCGGCGTCCACAGGTGCGTATAGGAACGCATTCGCGACGTCGATTTGGCGTAGTGGTAATGTCTTCGTGGCCGCGACGGCGAGTAGGATGCGTAATGAGGTGTGACGGGAGACTGGAGCGAAGGTTTCTGTGTAGTCGGTCCCGTATCGTTGATCGAAGCCTCGTACGACCCATCGAGCTTTGAATCGTTCGATGGAGCCGTCTGAGTTGGTCTTAATGCGGTACACCCATTTCCCCGAGAGGACGTTTCTTCCGTTGATGCTTGTTGCAGGTACCAGTTTCCATGTTTTCCGGTCTTGCAAAGCCTTTAACTCCTTTTCCATCGCTTCCTTCCATTTTGCCTTATATTCCCCCCCCAGAGCCTGCGACAGGGTCGAAGGCTCTCGCGGAGAAGGCGGCGGCGGATGCTGGACGGAGACCCAGAGGCCTAGAATCTGCAGTCCCGTGGGTGTGTGTCGAGGGGAATTTTCATTCCCGGAATAAGCTGCTTCGTCACCGTCTTCTGGGTCAGGTGAGAAGTTGGGACCGATGCGTTCTGAAACATTTGTGTCGACTGGGTGGGGTGTAATGTAACCTTGGTCAGCGAGGTGGTAAAAGGTGTCGAGGTTGTTACTATCGAGAGGATTGTCTTCGTCGAGTGGAACAGGTACGGAACAGAATGGGAGTGGTCCGGCAGCTTCCGAGGCTTCAGGTACGTCTTCTTCTGCTGCGTCAGCTTCGGCAGCACGGTCGGCGAAGGAACGAAGTCCGGAGAAGCCGTCGGTGGGTCTTGTGTGTTGGCAATGTTGTCCAGGTAATGCTGCAGCGTCAGTCGCTCGTAGAAGATAACATCACGTGATGCCACGGTATTTTTGTCTTGTATGTCGAGAATTTTCCACGCGTGAAAATGTTTGGCGATGCCGAGGTGTAGTCCCCACCGAGCTCGTTGTGTGAAGCGTCCTGCTCGGGCTGTGTGGGGTCTGTACTGTACCATGCAGCCGAAAACTCGGAGTAATTTTGTGCTGCCCCTTTTTCTTGTCCACAACAGGTGCGGTGATGCGTTGTTGGGAAGCGATGACGAGGACAGCAGGTTGTGCAGGTGAACTGCATGTGTATCGCGTCTGGCCACAGTGTGGTGGGCAGCCTCATGAGAAAAGCCCTTAGGATCTTTTCAGAGACTAAGTCCCAGCTGTGGAGACTTGAGACTTTGAGTAGTGCAGCGGAAGTTGAGACGGTTGAACCCTTGTACTAGTATGTGAGAACAAGTGATTGATTAAAGAAACAAGCATACAGCAATATATAGAAGATAAGAAAGCAGTTGTAGAAATACAGTTACAGGAACGGTTTATCGAGTCGCACAGCGACTCGATTGCCGCTTCGGTTACATCCGTGATGTTGTAACGGTCAGTCGTAACCTCCAGTTGCGACCTTTCGAGTCTTTTCGCATTCTTTGTCCGCCCCCTCGTGGCAACCTCCGTTGATTCGCGTGCTCCCCTGTAATCTTCCTCGAGTACAGTGTTATACTTCAGAAACGCTTAAGTCCTTTGAGATATTTCCAACAAGGCTATAGCACCCTGATGTTATATTGAGGACATAATTTTTAAGATATGCATTAGACTCAGCGTTTCATGGCGATTTCAACCATCCAAGCTCCAGCTGAAAAGACGTACGTTTTCTCGAGGTTCATAACCAGCCTCTTCCCTAGCAACCTCTTCCTAGACTCGTGTGCTACAGTGTCGCAAATTTTGACGCGAAATGTTTCAGTGCGATTCCGCGAAGTGCGAAGTGAGATTCGGCTTCCCGAGATTCAGGGGCGTGTTTCAAAACCTCTTTTCAGCCAAGCAGATTTCAAACAGCACGAATCGGCACCAGTAAATTTTCAGCGCCAGCTGGTTTATGTGGTTGAGAGCGATGGAACTGAAATATGAAACGGAGAGTATTCCGAAAAGTGGTCCTGGGAACACGCTCTCAAGGTCGCGCGTGAGTCTGGGAAGCGGTTGCCTGGGAAGAGGCTCGTAGGAACACGCTCTCAGACTTTTTTCAGAGTTTTTTGGGGTGTACTCTGATTGCAAAGACTTTTTTTTGTACCTTGCCCTGATTTTTCATACCGTATTAGCCCGGATAGAAGACCCCCTAGTAATAGAAGACCCTGGGTCTTATAGTAGGCGTCTATCTTGTATTATGGCATTCCGTTTATAAGACCCTCACTTGGCGGTATGAGATAAGACCCCCCCCCCCCCACCCCCCCCTTTTTAAGATGTTATTCTAGTATGGCAAAATTCTATGCATTCAGTCATCAATGCAGATAGGACAAGAGTAGTCTCTTAGAAATCCTCATGGGTCTCCATAGTACTAAAATCACAGCCCTCCTCCTCCTCATCTACTGGTCCTCCTGGGGGGTGCTTGATGTAATCTAGCACCCCCCAGGCATGCCTCGCAGTGCTCTCATGCTCTGTCAGCTTCTCAGCTTCTGCTGCTGCGCCACTGCACTTCTTAGTCTCTGGGTACGGATCCTCCTCTCCTGGCTCTGGCGCTTCACCCCCCTCCTCCTCCTCCTCTCCCTCCTCTCCCTCCTCTCCCTCCTCTCCCTCCTCTCCCGCCTCCCCCTCCTCTGCCTCCTGCTCTTCCACGAAACCTGCATTGTCACCACTCGTCCCTTGCAGGGACATGTCTTCAGAGACGTTGAGAGCTGGCTTCCCCACGCATGTGCTGGAGCACCAAGTAGTTGTCTGTACCATCCATGGAGCTTGAAATGCCACAGGTCTTGAATGCTCGCACCGATGATGTCACGCGGCACATCACGCCATGCTTGGTCAATCCACTTCAGTACCACGGGGTGGGCGGGCGGCGCAGGTTTCCTGGAGTAGGGATTTCATGGAGCACTAGCACAGGCATCAGTCACGGATTTGACAGGCAAGTGATTCGAGCGAGAAAATCAGGGAAGAAGCCAGAAATGCGGGCAAGGTGCATTCAAGGTCACAGGCGGCGTGCATTCAGGGATGCGGGCGGGGAGAAATCAGATTAGCTGGCGTACCTTTGGCCGTGCGTAGGTTGATGCCGTGCTTTGCAAACCACTTTGCATAGCATGCCCTCACCCCCGCTTTTAAAAACACCTGTTGATGGAAACATCAAGGGGTTGAATCAGCAGAGTGCACCCAGCCGGAATGATGGCAGGGATGATGCAATGCGTCCTGTACGCGTGCTTCATCCCATCGGTGAGATGGCCACGGTACGAGTCTAGCCCAAGCATGGCACGTCGTGCTGGCACCCCACGCTTTGGGTTGAGAAAGGGGAGAACCTCTTTCTCCAGCCACTTCTTGACGGCTGCCTCATCCATCCAGCCGTTCTCCTGCGCCTGCAATTCGACCCCTACAGAACGCACGCACAAGTCGGATTTATGTGAGTCAAACAACAGGTCATACGCTCACAGCATAGGAGGGTTCAGGAGTGCATGGAGAGCAAGACGTGGAAGGCTTACCCGAGGGACATTCACATTTGGGTATGGTCTTGCGCTTGAACCATACCCACGGCCGGAGCTTGTCGCCGCTGGCCGTGCATGCTAGCATCACGGTCAAGCGTTGCTTCTCGTATCCAGCAGTCTTCACCGACACCGAACGGGACCCCTTCTGCTCCAACGTCCGGCCAGCTGGCATCTCCACGAAAAGAGGAGTTTGATCGGCATTGATGATGCGGCGTAAGTCCATCTGATGACGGGCACGGTTGATGCGAACGAACTTCCAAAACCCCTCACAGTCCGCGGCGCATTCTGTGGTGGGCGGGAAGGGGCAGGGGCGAAGGGGCCTTAGCAAGCGCATAGACACAAGATAGAGGCACGTCTCTGCACAAGAGACGAATGCAGAGACAGTGAACAGAAGCTTTGCACAACAGACAGATTCAGAGAACAAAGGCTCAGCACAGAGACAGACGCAGATACAGAGGTATACACTTACCCACAGGACACAAGAAGCTTACCTGGAGAGAGCTTCTGCCCAACCTTCGTTCGGCAGCGTAGTGTGAATCCCCACCGCTTGCGAAACCGTTGGCTCCATCGGTTCGACCCCTGCCACCTGGTACATGGGTCGCGTCTGCGCATGTACTTTCGGCTCCATTCCCGAATGTCATTGACGCTGACCACCAGGCCCCGACTCCGTTGCTCGCAGACATACTTGGCGAGCGCCTCCTCCATCTCGGGGTGATGCGCGTGTCGGCCAGAACCATGCAGCCTCTTCCTGCACTTCGCAGCCCCCTTGTACTTTCCCTTCATATCTGCCTCCACCCAGCGGCGGATGGAGCACTGTCCGACGCCCGCTTCTTGTGCCGTCCGCATGAGTGACCACAGCTCGTGATACCGCAGCGCCCACCGCGCCTTCTCGCCGACCGTGAAGCTGCGTCGCTGCTTCTTGTCGGCTTTACTACGCGGCGAGGGTGGTTGCGCGTCGGGGTTCTTGGTCCTTGGATCACTGGGCTTCTTGCCTTCGGGGAACACGGGGATGGGACCAGCCGCTTCCGCGTAGGCGTCGTCGGAGTTCTCCTCGGCCATATCGCCTTCTGGATGGCTGGTGTTCCGCTTGGCGGACTTTTGCGTGTCGTTGCCGGTGGCTCGCTTGCGTTTGCCGATGCCGTGCTCTTCCCGGGATTTTGCTTTCCCTTTCTCCTCCCTCGACAGCCGTCCACGCTTTGCTGGGGACTGTTTGGTCGGTTTCTTTCGCTTTGTTCCTCCGTGTTCGTCGTTGTCAGCATCGTCCAGCTGGCGCTTGCGACCGTGCACCTCGAAGAGAACACGACGTTTCTGGATCGGCATGTCCTCATCGGACATGCCGCCCGCCTCATCGGTCGAGTTGTCGTTAGTGGCATTGCACTCGACGCGTTCCATCTTGTCAGCCATCCACTTCGAGCTCCGCAGCTTTGCCCCGCCACGACATCGCCCCGCCGACGCCGCTACTGCATCGAAGTCATCGTCGTCGTCAGCAGCGTCACACGATTCGTCGCTCGTGTTGTCGGCAGTATTGTCAGCCTCGTCGTAGTCCACATCGTTGCCTTCCTCACCGCTCGGATACTCGCCCGCATCGTCACCCCTCCCAGTACGCGTTCTTGTCGGCCGCATCATCGCCCACCCCGCATGCGTTCTCGTCGGCCGCATCGTCGCCCACCCCGCAGGCGTTCTCGTCGCTTGTAGCGGCACCATCCCCTCCGCCAGCATCGATGCCCGCGTGCCATTCTTCTACTTCATCGTCGGATCCGATGGGCCTTGCCCACCATTCGTCTTCGTCGTCAGTGGCGTTGCACGCCGAGCCGTCCGCGTCGGTGCCCCCATCGTCTGCATCGTCGTTAGAAGTCGTGAGGGGAGAATCACGACGTGGTGAACGACTCGCAGAGGCCTTTCAGACAGGCCGAACACTACCGTTGATGGTATCGCCAGGGGAGTTAACTCTACCAAAAATGTTGACGTACACCCTTGGTGGTGTAATACCTGCTGAAGGGCGCCGTCCGCCATGAGTCTCCTCCATGGCGGACGGTGCTTGCTACGCATCTCGCTAAGCCACAGATAGCTAAGGCACGGCAGGCAGAGGCACACCAGGCTGATGCATTTTTCGAGAACGCGAGATGCAAATGAGCAGAAGAGGGGGTCCACCCACCTCCGACAACACTGCCACAATTCACTTTGTGGTTCCCCGTAGAGGAATCTGTCCTCGCTGAGGACGCTTTGCTGACGCATCATGTGACAGCCCATCGTATCCGCTGGATTTGTGTGAGCTAACACCAGATAAACGGTTGGGATGGTTGAAACGTGACGTCCAGTTGATGAGGGTTGCAGAATACCTGCCAACACACCCTCACCCTCGTCCCTCACACGTGTCCAACTGAGCCTAAACTCTTATCGCCAACAAAATCGGCCCCTTAATGACATCTTCAATATGAGAACGGTTCACAGACCTCTGGTGTAACTACTGCAGGTTTTTTCCAGTGAGGTTACGATGGTTCCGTTTATAAGACCCCCATACATGTTGTTTTTTCCCATTTATAAGACACTCTGGGCTTTTTTCTAACGGTATGTGATAAGACCCATGAGTCTTCTATCCGGGCTAATATGGTAGAACCTTTTTGTACCTACGCTGATTTTTCAGACTTTTTTTACTCGTGTACTCTGATGCCTCAACCCTATATGGGGGGTTGACTCTGATTCTGTGTAATACCGTAATCCCCCGTATAAAGCACCCTATGGTGTTAATAAAATGCAGCAAAATTTTGGGCTGGGTGTAATTAAAGGCCAAAAAAATCAAACACCCAGGAGTTATGGAATGTGCATATGCTTTTATTAATTCGAAATCAAGTGTGCCTGTTTCACCACATTCATTTGAGTCACATACCCACTTTTGGTCATCTCATTGCATACTGGACGATATTCCCGATCTGCATGCCACATTGGCAGTAAGCATGCAGTGTCAGGTGTCAACTTATACATATGTTCTATGTAGAAGTTATAGGCTAGACTAGGTGTGTGCTTCTAGTGAGTACAACCCAACAGGTATATGTTCTAGGTTTCTCCTTCTAGTAATCATTCACGTATTCTAGCATGGTATCGAGTAGGTTAGGTCCCCCCGCCCGCTTCCGCCCGCGCCCTAGTCTCTCGCCCGCCCTTAGCCGGGCCCCTGGCCGTCGCGTCCGCCCCTAGTCGGCCCCCTGGCCGTCGTGTCCACCCTTAGCCGGCCCCCTGGCCGTCGCGTCCGCCCCTAGTCGCCCCCCTGGCCGTTGCGTTCGCCCCTAGGTGGCTCCCTGGCCGTCGCGTCCGCCCCTAGTCGGCCCCCTGGCCGTCGCGTCCGCCCCTAGCCGCCCCCCTGGCCGTCGCGTTCGCCCCTAGTCGGCCCCTTGACCGTCGCGTCCGCCCCTAGTCAACCCCCTGGCCGTCGCGTCCGCCCTCAGCTGCCCCCCTGGCCGTCGCGTCCGCCCCTAGTCGGCACCCTGGCCGTCGCGTCCGCCCCTAGTCGGCCCCCTGGCCGTCGCGTCCGCCCCTAGCCGACCCCCTGGCCATCCCATTCGCCCCTAGCTGGCCCCCTGGCCGTCGCGTCCGCCCCTAGTCGGCCCCCTGGCCGTCGTGTTCGCCCTTAGCCGACCCCTTGGCCATCCCGTTCGCCCCTAGCTGGCCCCCTGGCCGTCGCGTCCGCCCCTAGTCGGCCCCCTGGCCATCCCGTTCGCCCCTAGCTGGCCCCCTGGCCGTCGCGTCCGCCCCTAGTCGGCCCCCTGGCCGTCGCGTCCACCCTTAGCCGGCCCCCTGGCCGTCGCGTCCGCCCCTAGTCGCCCCCCTGGCCGTTGCGTTCGCCCCTAGGTGGCCCCCTGGCCGTCGCGTCCGCCCCTAGTCGGCCCCTTGACCGTCGCGTCCGCCCCTAGTCAACCCCCTGGCCGTCGCGTCCGCCCTCAGCTGGCCCCCCCCCCCCCCGTCGCGTCCACCCCTAGTCGGTACCCTGGCCGTCGCGTCCGCCCCTAGTCGGCCCCCTGGCCGTCGCGTCCGCCCCTAGCCGACCCCCTAGCCATCCCGTTCGCCCCTAGCTGGCCCCCTGGCCGTCGCGTCCGCCCCTAGTCGGCCCCCTGGCCGTCGCGTTCGCCCCTAGCTGGCCCCCTGGCTGTCGCGTCCGCCCCTAGCCGGCCCCCTGGCCGTCGCGTTCGCCCCTAGCTGGCCCCCTGGCCGT